TGAGCAGTGAAACTATGGGTGAAGAGTAGGAGTTGGGTGTTCAAGAGTGAGGAGAACTGGCTACCCTGTGTGGCGTATAATTCTAAGCACAGAAGACGAGTTTGTCTGTATAAGGCTGAGGTCAAGTCTTCTAGGGCAGTATGAAACACAGACCCATTCTAAGCCTCCTTCTGGTATCTACTACTGCATACCCTTCGCTAAGGGACGTTATAGAGGCGTCAACTTTTAGCCTTCCATCCTTAGCACCAAGAAAGAATGCCCAGGCTCCAGGCCTCACACCCTCCCAATTGCACATTCCTGGCGGAAATGATCCAGCCAAGAGCATTGTGGCGAGCTGATAGACGAGATGAATCAATAATATTACATCAAGATGAGTCGAGATAGCCTTTTGCGGCGTTTGGTCGATTACTGATGTTGGCACATGATGAGTGTTGGTTAGCGATCTACTGGCTGGGAATTATTCCGCCGCCAGAAGCGGGAGTGGGAACGGGAGCCAGATCCAAGATTACAACGGGGAAGAGGGAAAATGACCCGATTTGAGTGAAACTCTAAATGATCGGCAATTAAAGATTATCCTGGCTGTGGCCTCTTGTTGGCTGTTCAATTTTAATTGACTTTGCCTTTGTCACTTGATCAGGCTCAGCCTTAAGAAGCCCACCGTTGGATGTGGGCATGGGAGAGGGTTACAACTCTGGTTGGGCGCCAGAAAAGTTTATCATCCCGCCCTCTACCGCTGTGTTGGGTTCAGTTGGCCGACATATGTCCTAGATCCAGACCTGATATCTCCGTGAACACGGCAAACAAGTACCCTCCATTAAGCGAAGTTGAAGTTGTCTCTTTACGCTTTCATCTCAAGGGCGTACTGTAAAGGAGACAAGAAGAGGAGCAAACAATGCATCGCATAGAAATGAGACATCAGTTTCATCAAAACCTTTCTTTTCCCATACACCGAGTCTCAGAGGATCTCACCCTGCGCTGCGCCATGAACTGATATTTGACGTGTCGTTGCGTAAAAGCCAACAGGGCTGAAAAGTCCCAGAGTGGCTTGTTTGTAACGTCACTCGATTCGATCCTCGATCCGGAGGGCCTAGATTGGGTGTTTTGATACCACCTCCAGCCCATATCGGTGATGGCAATATATCCCAAAGGGGAGAGAGGAAACAGTGATTCACATCTCAGCCTGACATGTATCTTGCTGAAACATAAGCAAATACGACCATGTCGAGTGAGTGTATGCAAAGACACCTTCGACGTTACTCTGCAGGTTCAACGTGCAGAACAGCGCATCGTGGATACCGTAGCCGGTGCAGGTACAGAGCGTTTCTTTCAAGGATGTTCCCGGCTCGACTACCGATCTACTCCGTAAATCTTGGGTATGGATGCATCAGATCTGTTTATGTGAATCTGACCGTGCATCCAGGCATCGAGACAGATGCAAGCCGTGAAGAGTTTTCACATCAACGCAAGGGCAGGAAAAAGTATTCCGGCGTACATACACCGGTGGAGTGAACGGACGGGTACGGTTAATATGTAGTAATTGTTGACTCATTAACTTTTCTTTTTACGCCCTCGAATAAGATAGGCTATCTCCTTTGTTCCGAGGCCTGGACTCGGGAATCACTTTGTACCTTTTGTGATCCGTAAGGTAGGATGGTCTGGAATGATGTGCAGGTAGGGGAGAACGAGGCGACACACTCGTAAATGCACTCTTTACTGCCGTGATGTGGTGGAGATGTAATGGTGGACAAGTTACAAGATGCAGAGGGAAGAAGATCATACCCAGGTACACTCGTAAATGCGACCATTCAGGCTCATTCACTTCATTTACTAAAGCAAACTAAATTAATGCTTCCATGACGTCGGGTCCAAGTGTGCTGAAAATGGCAGGATCAGTGCATATGGAGACGGCATCGGATGGAAATGACAATGGGAATAGACAGCTGCTCCGAGGAAGGCACGTGGCATTACTGACAGCGGCCTACCAAGCAGTTAGGCCTCAGCCTAAGGTAGCGGCTGGCCGACTTCAATTTACCCTGAAAACTCAGCAAAACAATGTGTCCACTTCTATCATCATCATCTGCATCTGCATTGCAGCCCGTCGCACGCAAATCATGATTTGCATCGCCCAGAACCACTTCTGATGGTGACATCAGTGCGTGCCATCTCCAGTCCCAATCCTCTTGCTGGTCCCGGCAGTCAAGCCTAAGCCAAGCCACCCCAAGCAAGGATCACATTCAACACCGGGCCCAGCAGCCAGCCTCTCCCGTTGGCCTAGCTCACAGCAATTAGCGAATCCTCACTCGAGAAGACACTGACGTTGGTGATGTGGCTTTCTCCCCCTTCTCATCTCCGTCTCCAGACTGGGACACTTTCTCCAGCGGCCGCTCGTCGATCCAACTCTTGGTCGACCCGGTTCCAAGGCTCACTCGGTTGTTAGAAGCGGGTATTTCGCATAGCGCGTTGCCAATGACCCTTCAGCCTCCCCTCCCGCGGCGAAACATGCTGCTCCCCCGTCCCCTGTGGCCGAGGCCTAAGACGTCTCCGATCCACACCCCAAGCTGTCTGCTGCTGTCATCCTCCTAGTGACCCACCTCAACTCCGCTGCAGCTGCAATCCAAGGCTGCCGACCGCCCAAATCGTCCGCCATATCGTCTCCCGCTACCTTTAGCCCTCCCCTAGCCCCAACTGTAGGGGACCAATGGATGACCATCTTTAACCACGGCATTGGGAGCACTCCCGAGCTACTGGAGTCAAGTTTGAGAAAAAGATACAGAGAGAAGCCCCAGAAATAAAAATCTGGCCTCATCAGACCTGGGGTTGGTGATGTCTTCGTCCAAGTGTTCCACTTGGGCCCTCAGTCTCTTCTATCCTCACTCTTGCGTCGTGCGCCCTCGGTCTATAGCAGATGTTGACGTCGTTGCTGCACTGACATCAATGCTGTTAATCATTGGATCCGAGACATTCAGGAACGTTGCGAAACTGGTACAGAGAGTGGACCACCAAACGATACCCTTGCACCAACATTAACCGGGACCTGACGCTCCATCCGCCTGTCTCCTACCCCTTCTATCCGTAGCCCATCAATGGCAGTCTAGCACTGCCCGGTTCAAGCTCACGTCGGATTATTTGGCCATCGACCTTGAACAATGCAATATTTTCAGGGACCAGGAGGCTTTGTGAAAGTCGCCTGGAATCAGCCAACTCACTCATGGACCAACCATATTCTCTATCCGGCTCTCTCCAACAAGCCCCTCCATACCGGATCCCAGCTAGAGATCCTCAACTCGGCTCGTGTTGGCCGAATCTTTTCGTTCTATTCTTCTCCTGTCCGTGTTCCTGATTGTCATCGATTGACAGCTGCCAACCCTGGACGATGACTGGCTGCCGAGAGTGACTCTCTGGTAATGACCTTGGGGCGCTGAATTGCCCCAAGGTTTTCGCCTCATGCCCCATATCGTACTCAGTCTATCTGAATTTCGCCAGTTGTCTCGTGGTTCTGATTCTGTCCAGTCGCTTTCATATGTCGTGTTGCCCTTCACAAGCTTATCCCTGTACCCGGCTGCCACAGTCTGCCGATGATACATTGCTCCATCAACCTTCTTTTTTCACTGACTCCCTATTACTACTTTACTCCGACTCTCATTGATGGATTAGGCCCCTCCACCTTGACATCTTTCTTATAAAGACCCCTGGCCAAGTTTTGCTTTTGACTTTCCCCCTCCGAATTCTCATTGTTATTACGGATGCCTGTTGCTACGCTCTCTTTTCTCATTTGCAGGTCTTAGCCACGTTCTCTCCCTGTCATCATTGAGTTATAAGTTGCCTCGTTGGCGCCCTGCCTGATTGCCACTGTCGAGAAGCTGCCTTCTAAACTGGTCTATCAGACAGCGGCGGGTATAATACATCTCTTAAACCCCGACATACAAGCACGCAAACAAACATATATACAGCAATTCTCCTTACATCACTCTCATTGCCGCCATTATCCCCACCATTCTCGAATTGGGTGCTACCTCTGGACAATCCAGTCATATTAGATTCGTCCCAAGCTCTAGTCCAGCCGAGTCCAGCCCGATCCAGCCTGGTCCCGGGCCTTGAAGATCTTGCTTTCGGTTCAAGCCAGTTCTAGAACGCCAAAACTTGACAACCATTACATTTTAAGCACTATCCTCTTTTTTAGCATTCGAATTCTTGGGGCGGTGCTTGGCCTTAATTCAGCCAGAAACAAAATCACCGCCTTTCCCCGGTCATTCTCATCTCCCTTGCACTCTGAGAATCTACCAACCCAAGTCAAAAAGAGGCGCCGTCTACAGAACGACCGTCTCCCGTCTTGCGTACGTACCCTTCAGTGGCTGCCCTCCGCTTCCCCAAGGGAAAACCCTCGAGCTAGCCGCCACGGGCGCTTCCCAGACTCCCGGTCCTGGGACCAAACGAGGAAACTCAATTTCAGGCATCACAAATCCTGGACATTTTTATTTGGTTCTAGTGTCATCCATCTGGCTGGCTCTATCTCCCCTCTCGGTCTCTTTTACTCCCTCCTCCCCAAGCTCGTTTTCACACCATTATTTTTGAGCTTGACTCAACATCTCGGTTCTGCCCGTGTCTCCTCCTGGCGTGCGCGTGCTGGTTTCTTTCAACGTCGCAATATACGATTGGGTGCTCAACCATCAACTTCAAGGCTGTGAGACTCCAAAAACATACATAACCGCAACCGGCACGATTAGTCTCGACTTTTTTGTGTCCCATTCCTCACCAACAGTTCCCCGATCTATCTGTACCTGTTTATCGCCAATTTATCGACTTTCGGACTTATTAGTGTCTGGTTTTCCCTCGCTCGTACTGCGCATTGAACACGTTCAGTTTCACTATCATCATCAGCAACCCAATTTTTCTTATCGCTTGATTGATATACCTTTTTTGAGGGTCATATATTGCTTGTCGCTCGCCTTGTTTCGGCATACACTCGCTCATCACGAAATTCTCAGTTTTTTATTACCATCATGCCACGACATTATCACTACCAGCCCAGGTTTGGCTCATATACCCTCAACGCTCCATAGTACTTGATACTAATTCACTACTCAGTCGCGAACTCCATGTGGTAGTCCTGGGAGCAGGTTCGTCCATACCCAACACCACCACGCAACCCTTTCGCTTTGACTCTCCCTTTCTTACATGTGCGCTTGTCTGACTCGTTGATCATTTGGCAGGCGGCGTGGGCAAAAGTTGTTTAACTGGTGAGTTGTCATTCTCCCTTCACCTTCCCCTCGTCCCATGTTCTTCATGTTGCTGCGCCTGCGTCCCACCGTTGCATCCGCAATCCTCCTACGCTTCCCTGTCTTCCCCTTTGCAGCACAAGGCTCATGCGAGAACAGCCCAGTTCGTCCACAATGAGTGGATCGAGAGCTATGATCCCACCATAGAAGATTCTTATCGCACGCAGCTTCAGGTTGATGTGAGTATTGCGCACGGCAACAATGCCACTGCTTGACCCCTTCTGACTGACTCGCTCGTCTCAGGGACGTCAAGTTATCCTCGAAATGTGAGTTTACACCTTGATTGTCTCACCACTCAATCCGTGTTTGGAGAAGAGGTGTCACTGACTCGGCCTCTAGCCTCGATACTGCGGGGACCGAGCAATTCGGTAGGTCCTCTATGTCTCAACAGCTTTCGCACGACCCTCGTACTGATGTTGGTACAGTCGCCATGAGGGATCTGTACATGAAAACCGGTCAAGGTTTTCTTCTCGTATTCAGTATCACATCGTCTTCCTCCCTAAGCGAACTAGCAGGTTTGCGCGAAGAAATCATCCGGATAAAAGACGATGAAAATGTACCTCTTGTTATTGTCGGTAACAAAGCCGATTTGGAGGAGAATCGCGCTGTGCCCCGAGCCAAGGGCTTCTCCATCTCACAACGATGGGGCGCACCCTACTACGAGGCTAGCGCGAGGACAAGGAGTGAGTTTGCCCGTCCACTCATGGCTTCTTTCGCCGCATTCGGACTAACAATATGCAGCCAACGTTGATGAGGTCTTTATCGATCTCTGCAGGCAAATGTTGCGTAAAGAGGACGAACAACACGCGAATGACGGACCCAATGACGACTACAAGTATGATCACGGCCGAAGTTCTCATAGACGTCAACGACGTCGCCGAAAGAAGGATTCACCCCGATGTGTGATCCTGTGAACTTAATGAACCGCTTTCAGAACAATGGCCACTGGATGGCATCCAAGCACTGGAATTTTTTCACTTCTTTCAATTTTCTAGGCCTCGGCATTTTCCCCTCAATTTTCTCACACTATACAGCACGTTTTTACGCGTATCACGGCCATTTAAAATAAATCTATCAAAGATATCTGTTTTTTTCGGAAGGACCACATGAACGACCTCGCGGTCTCATGAGGCGAACGGATATTTGACTGCGATCTGGCCCCAGACTCGCGGCAGAATCGAATCGCATTATTGAAACGAGACCGACGCGTATAGACGACATAACGCATCACACCGAATTGAATTGAACCGAATCGAATCGCATGGCATCGCATGCTTGAGCTAAGCAGAGGGTGTTTTGGGATCGACAACTTCCCATATTGTATTCCATATTACGGCGTTGGTGGCTTTGGATATCGACCTGGGATACAGGTTCTGCACCTGTTTATTGCTTTGAGGATTTCATATGGGTATTTTATTCTACTTCTTGAACCACGGTGAGATGGATAAGAAACTGTTGTGTAGATGATGAAGTAGGACGACCTTTGCATTGATACGAATGCTCCAAGTCACGAGAATGAAGCAGCATGAGCTATGCAAATGCATGCATTTATCAGCTTCAATTCTGATATGACAAGGATGACTTTTAGTTTGTGCCCAATCTATTTCCTTCCCCCTGGGTCACTCGCATCTCGGAACTTCTCTTCAAGCTGTGTGGCAGCACCACGTGAACTATCTTCCGAGTTTTCGAGTATCACTGACTAAGCTTGACTTTGCATTGCAGTCGTCGTGAAGTTTGGCCACGAATTTATCGTGACATGTCACACAACATTCACCCGCCATCCCTTGTGCCACCATCTCCTAAAAATCACTGCATGAAGCTGTGACGAGCCGCGTGTTCAGATCACCTCAACTTATCCAACGACATTCGTGCCTTGAGGCTACAACTCGTCATATATACGAGATCTTATCTTATCATCACAATACATCATTTGACTTGTTATTTGTGTACATTAATGCCCATGTTCCTGTTATCCAGTATGACACGTCTCATGTTATCCTCATGACTTGGTACTGGTCTGCATGTACGATCTCGTGTGTAACCAACCCTTGACTATGACGTGGCTCCAAAGATTGATCCCAATCCAACCGCAAAACTATTCATGAAACTGACACCCAAGGTGACCACACTGGATCGTTGACGATCCTCGGCTGCCGCTCACTTGCGTCGCAGCATGCCCCAAATGTCAGTGAAGATACCAAACCACCCCTTGACTCTCTCAGCGGCGTTCAGAAGTAGGATGAAGCGTTTCACAAACGCATCGACGTTGTCATAGTCATCAGCGTAACACTCCCACACAGCGCGCCCTTGACCGTTGTTCTCAGAGTCCTGGACAGCCATGAGAGCATCCACGTCCTCCACACCCTCCACACCAGCGGACTTGAGCTTGGGACCTACACAGAGCGCACGACCCGCAATCTCTTCATCAGCTATGAGGCGAGTGGCAGCATCAATAACATCCTCGATCATTGCCCCGCCTGCTGTGCCTGAGAGGAAGGCTGCTTCGATGGGGAGCTTGAGCATGTTGGACTTGGAGACATAGTAGGGAGTGATCATGTTGACACGAACGCCACTCCGGAACGACGTAGCACGAAGAGTGCGGAAGAGACCAAGTATAGCATGCTTGCTCATCGTGTACATGGTTTGAGTTGGGAAAGGGCACAGAGATGCAAGCGAGCCGACGAGAAGCAGGCAACGATCTCGCGGGGAAGATCCATTCTGAGGGAGCCAGTACATGGCGAGGTGAGTGGTGTAGGCAGCACCCGTGATGTTGACATCAAACTGAGCCGTGTTGGGCTTTGGGAGACGTCCATTCTTGAGAACAGGCTCTTCGAATTGGATGGAGACGTCGGGAAGGATGATGCCCGCGTTGGGAACGACAATATCGATGCCTCCATGAGGGCTGACGTGAACAGCCGTCTCAAAGAGACTGACCTGTGATTCCCAGTCGGTGACATCGCAATGATGGAAGGCAAAGGCCGAGTCAGGATACTGAGCTGCAAGTTGAGCTACGAGCTGCTCGCCCGCTGCGTCAGCGACATCGCCGATGATGATATTTGCACCATGGGATGCCCATTCGCGAACCATGTGAGAGCCAAGACCATTAGCACCACCGGTGATGACGATAGTCTTGCCCTTGAGAGTTGTGGCATCGTAGGGCTTAGACACATCAACGGGCGGTGACTGGCGGATGAGGCCCTTGATATCGTTGGTGGGCTCCATAGCTGACTGTTGTATGTACTAGGGTAGGTAGGATCTTTGCTGTGAAAAGAGTTGAAATGGTCTCGGCAAATGGTGTACTGTCTCTGTAAGTATAGAGTGATGGACGAAACAAACACGGTATGATAGTGATTGCGATTATTGAAAAAGGATTTGCTGACCTGTCAACCCAAACAAATTAGCCCCAGCTTCAGCTTCAACTGCTCAGCTATCAAACCAAAAGCCGTTTGACCAAAAATATCTCCCGTGTGGAGTCTGAGCCCTTTTTTGCAGGGTCCAGCCCAATCTCACCTTTTAATCTGCCTATCGTATCGTGTTGTTCCTTGAAGGCCCGATAAATTAGCTTTAGCGGGTCGTCTCGAGCTTGGTAGGTATTGGCTATCCACTCCAGAAGTTGTTGATGATGCCGACGCTTTGAAATCCGGAGACCAAGATGAAGATGAAGAGGACAAGACCAAGAGAGGAGAAGAATGCGGCACAAGAATTGCTTGGTATAAATAAGGCCCCCAATGGCAATGAATCCCTGCTTCTTGCATTTACTGTTGTAATGTAACGCAGTTCATGACAGTGATGGGGACATCAATGCACAAACAAATTCTGGGGTTGAAGAACACAAAGCTGGAGAACTTCCTTCAGTATTCACTGAAGAAGTGCTAAGGTTCTGGTGCACATCGCCATGTTCCCCGTTCACCTCTCGGGTGCCCATGGTTGTTCGGAGGTTAGCAGTCTCAGCCAGGCGCTTGATTATTTTCGGACGACAGAGTAGACATGAGTTTCTACACACAAATCTCAACAAGAGGCTACATTGCCGAGATCCACGAATGAAAATCGGCATTCATTAGAGCCCAGTAGCCCTGGTATGCAACTGGTTGTGGTATAAACGACATTTCGCTATGGGCTTTTCCTTGTGATTCGAAGGCCCGGCAGAACCGCTCTGCTTGAGAAAGACTAGATGAACAATCTATATTCGAGACAGCCGTAAGCCCCAAGGTGGCAACAATATTTGCATATTGAGGCTGTGTAGTTTCAGAACTTCGCAGAAGATGCTGAGAACTTTGATGTGCTGATTGATAACTTGCCCTTTCTATGGCCATTTATCCATTGAAACACCCGGCATGAATGCCAAGTCGGCAAATAGGCAAATTATTGCTGGTCAGGCGACCGTTGATCTTATACAAGAGATTTGGCAGTCATCTTCGTCATCATATATGATCGTGCGGATGATGAAATTGATCACCTTCAAGATTGCTCAATGTAGGCGGTCGATTTGGGAGGGTGTGGTTGTCATCGTCTAGCCCAGGAACCTCGAGCTGCACGTCTGCAAATTGTCTGTTAGTCTATGCTGGGGCAGAATTATTGGGTGTAAGCTTTCATCCCCGTTGTTCCAAGCATCATTTTTGCCAACTTGGTTGTTCTGACTCTTCTGGCTTCAGAGGCCGTGGAGTACTGACGACCCGATGCTGAAACAATGACAGTTGTTTTGTTTGCCAAAACCATGTCAGCAACTGAAACGAGCACAGCAGAAAAGTCGAACAGAAAACGCAGGGGTGAGAAAAATGGAAGTTCGCGTTGAACCAACAGCTATCCCTTGCTTTCGGAGTATTTCACGTAGTCGCGCAGAGGATCGTCTTCCCTCGTCATAGGTGGCTCTGTAGTTATCTCCTTGTCTCAAGGCAAGGGTTCAACGTTAGTGTGAACAAGATTATCCACCCAACGACTTAGACAGTGGCTGCTAGGACTCTAGTCTGTCTCGAGAAGGGAGAGAAGATTTGAATGTGTCACATGAGTATCGACGGTTACCGACACCGTCGATCATTTCGTCTAGAATTGATGGAACCCAACGTCGACACCAGGGCGCGTCACCCATCAGCACGCAGTGCATAACTTGACTGCGTTGTGGTCTCATCTGATGGTGAAGCCAGACCCGAGATTATCCGCCTGTGGTCAAGAAAACCAAGTTTTCAGACTGGCTGCGGCCTCTCGAAATGGTAGTCGTGACTTTGCTTGAGCCTCGAAGGGCCTTGCATCATTCATTCTTACCAGGCATCTAGCGAGGGGTTCACCGGGATGTGACGGGCTTTAGACGCACCAGTTCCGATGTCCAACATGCCGGGCCTGGCACGCTCATGCCTCGGTGACCTCGATCACGGACTAGGGCGCGGGCCTGTAAATTGGGCTGGACTGTTGGCGTTAAATGCCACGCCAGGGGGATCCCTGTCATATCGAACAAAGCAGGGTGGTTCCCTCCACACGACGGTCAAAGTCAATGACCTGCGGATAGCAACTCAACGAGAAGCAATCTAAGCTTTCCTTTCTATGCTGCAATAACCTCGTGTTGCGGTACGTAGCTAGCAATATCTTCGACTTCAGATCAATGGCTGGGTTCTGTTGAATGGCCAACTCGTTCGGTGAGCGTATGCGTTTGGCAATTTTTATACCAAGACCCTGAATTTGTGCCTGAGAATGTTGCACTCAGCCGCAATCCGTCATTCACGTGGTACCGTTAGACCACATGTTGGTTTCCTGCGTGGGTAGCAATGGACAAATCGTTCAATGGGGATCGCCCCAACGTGCACGATTGTACCTATCTGAGATGTGATGGCGCCCCAAACAAGCGAAATTAGTAAGAGATCCCCGTATGTGCGGCTGGATTGTTGGCGGCGTATGCCTGGAAGAGTTGTGGGCAACCCTCGACGCAACGTGAAACCCGCCTTTGCAAATTTGGAACTCAGCAATAAGCTGCTGAAAATTCACATTGATTTTCCCAACAAGGCGCTTATTCAGTCTCCAAGATTCCTCATATCCGTCATCAGTACGATGACTGGTAAGACGCTATGCGATACCACCACGAGGTCTGATCACACACACCTCTGTCCAAACCAATAAGATACCAAACGTAGGGGTGCAAAACGTCCTGTTCCCCAAGCTTTTCTGAAGGTATGGGTTGGCAAAAGCCCAATCGGGATCTAGTATTGATGACCCAATTGGGCTGGAGGACGATGCGACCCAGGGTCGTTGTCCAGGAACGTCAACCTTCAAGTTTTAAGGTGTACATAGCATCCTCACGCCGGGCAATAGATCTGCGACAACACCATAACCTTGGTTTTGGCAGGCGATAAGCCTATGACTCAGTCTCGGCAACGGAGAAAGAGATTGTTACATTTGTTGTGTTTTCCTCTCTATTGATGAAAAAAAAGCGTGTGTACCATCATTGGTGAGATAGATGACCCCAGGCGACTTTGGAAGTGAACTACCTATGTACGGTTTGTTTGGCCATTTGTAACAAGAGTAAGTGAGGTTTGACACACCTTCCCTTCTGGCGAAAGATAATTATCATCCACTGAACTGAGATTTGTGGTAAGTGCCAGCACGCTGAATCATTGATAGATGGGGTCCTGGAATGAATATGCCAGTATCAATTGAATATGCTTTGATGCCTCTCCGTACTTTCATCAGGAATAACTCAAAATGACGATTCATTGACGGTGTCATTGCATCCTCCCTGCATTCTCCGCACAGCCTTTGGAGGATCCGGCTCAAAATAATAGTGAAGGATGAGAATGAGAATGCTTCCAAATATCGAATGTAACGGTAGAGTTACGATACGTGGAGGACTATGAGGTCATCCAGTAGCTTGAGTCTCAGCTTTCACATCCTTAAAGGGAATGAGGAGGCTGAGGTGGAGTGGGCTTCGGTTCTGGAACGGGTATCCTCCAGGGGCCGTGCCTTTTTGGTGGCTGAAAAAAGTGATATGGGTGCGAGGAAGGCATGCTACCGATCAAGGGAGAAGAAGGGATGCCCTTCTTTGAAAGGGCTGTTGCTGTCGGAAGTCTCATGGTGCTCATCCAAGGAGGCACGAGAGCCTTGTAGGACAAAGGTTCTGCTATTTGGTCAATTCAGAACTCGACTAGAAGCTGAGCTAGGTGTAGCTGGATTCATCATTGTCAAGGTTCCAAGGACTGTCGAGGTGATTCCTGAACGAATTCTAAGATCCGTCTCTTAATTCATAGTGTCGGTTATCTGTGGCTGGGTCTGTACGACTTTAAGAAGGGATGAAACATCGCCGGGACGAGAAGGATATCCAGGCATTGGAACCAAGCGGAGCCATTCCTGATGTACACTGCAGAGTTCAAGCCATGACCCCACTCATAGGATGCCTGGTTTCCGTTGACAAGCCCCCTGGTCTTGAGCTCCCAAGTATGTATGTTTCCGTGAAGCTTGAAACTGTGCAGCTGTTGCAGTTTCACCTAATCGTCAAAACTGGCCTTGACTAGCGCATATCTCAGTTCCAATTCCCCAAGCTGTATGTCCGCGGTGGGGGCCAATTATTAGGCCTGTGGATGCAAGCGGGCCGTTCGATCGATCCGGAGCCCAATAATCTGGAAAGTCAGGTCGTTCTTGCGTCTATTCCCAGCAGTTATATGCAGGCGGGATACTGGCAGTGGTGTCTTACTTCCAAGGCTGTTCTGCCGTGTCACTCAATCTTGAGCTTGATAACGATATAAGTGGAAAGTTAGGTTTCCCGCACGGCACCTGTGGGTGTATCAGAAACATGGCCATGGTCATCCATGCACCTGCTTGACCATGAACCAGATTGACAGAGTCACACCAAGTGAGTCCTCTCATTTTGCACAACCACATGGACAAACCTCGAATTCCGGAAGCACAAGACTCCGAGGCCCGCCATTGCTTTGTCCTCTATATACTGTTTAGTCTGCGCTGACGAGCGCATTGACTTTTATCGACACCATGAAACTGGTGAGAGATGCATCCTCTTCACCCAGACCGTGCTCGCCAGTGGACAGTAAGATGACAAACACGGCAAGAAGAAAGCTTCAAGCGACAGGGGATCTTGGTTGATTAACAGGGCCAGGGGAGGAGGTAGGGGAGGGGCCTGTTTTACCCCTGTTAACAATTGCTGCATGGCTGGCTCACCGGCTGTGTACCCCTCCCGCCCGCGGCCACAGCCCTGGGTGGTTTAGTTGTAACTGAGGTGGGAGGTTGACAGGACTGGGGACTCGCTAGAGGGTCCAAAATGTTCTCGACGGGCACCTCGAAAATGGGGGGTAGACGTGGCTCCTGTCGGGACAACACGCCCCAGAGGCACTCGGTACGTAGAGGGCGCACTTTGGATGGCTTTTATTTGCGTGCTGATAGCTCAACGGGCCGACGTGTTTTTCATGCTTCGGTCAGAGTTCCCTGGTTTCGCATCATTAGAGTGTCTTCTTGGAAGGAAGCAGTGTTCCCCTCCCTGGCTGTCGTGTCAACGTCGTCTTGCCACAAACATCCAGGCAAGAGCCAGGTTGCGTTTGCAGCAGCACGAGGTTACAGTCCATTTGAGATGCAGACGAACTTTAACCACACCCAGTTGAGCTCGCAGGCAGTGTTACTGTGGCTGCTTGTATGCCGCCCACAAGGTAACGAAAAGTAAACAAAGTCGCAAGCCCGAGTTTGGGTTCTGTGCAACGACGATAATACGGACAAATGATGACAACAGCTCTGCGAAAGCCAAACTGGGGTGATTATGGCCCTGATGATCTTGTTTGTGTCCATGGGAGGGTTGAATTAAAGTCTGAGTTTGCGTTTGGACCCTTCAGTTTCAGGCTGAGGCGCGGTTGCGAATGATCTCATTGGTATGGAAGTAGCTGACGATAAGCTTGTGCTGTAGTAAAGAACACTCTTACCAAGTCCATTGGTTTGGTTTTGTAATAAGAGCAAAATGATGTAAATACTAATGTTATGATGTACGTGACGTGAAAAGCTTCATACCTACACTACACTACGTGCCAACTCTGTCATCATCGTGATCGTAAATCCACCAATTCAGCAGGAAGCTTACTTTCCATGTCCCCGCTTGCCGAGATATCATTCGGCGATTCAGTTGCCGAGGAGGGTGAGGAAGTCGCAGCCTGGTAATTAATTCTGCATGAGCGAGTTGTGGATGGCCAAGCAAGATCTTTCCCCGCTCTCTGTTCTTTGTTCTGCTGCACGTATGTAAGATTGGTAGGAGCCGCCGGGGGAAACAAGACGAGATGGAAAGTACTGCACTGTTGACGACGTTGTTCGCTGGTTTGGGTAGGAAGGGATTGCCCAGATGGGTTCTATGACAGACTTCGATCTTGATGACCTTGTTTGATCTTAGATCTCTCCATTCAAGGGCGCTTGACTTGCAGGCTTAGCAACCATCCAATCTACAAACTCCAATCAATCTGCCATCTCCATTGGATAATTGCCAGCCTTGGATGCAATCGAACGGTAGCGACGCGGCGTGAAATGACAGATACCGGCCCGTAATGTTATTGCGTTTAGCCACTAGGATCATGTGCGACACTGAATACGTCTTCTATAGCTGCCTCTGATGGGGATCAATGTTTGAATTTGCTTTGTTGACCTTTGGATACCTACTGTATTCCCAACATTACATTACATCACATCACCTGCCCCTCGCTGATGTATGTTTTACTTGTCTGGCTCGTCTTTGGTTTGGCGCATTTCCCCCTCCTCTCCCCCTCCTCCTTGTTTGTCTGGTCGGCATTTTGCTTCTTTGATGCTGGTTGTGAAATGTTAGCGTCGACCTCCATCTTTAGCATCCACCACTTTCAACCTCAGAAGAAGTCATTCATTCGCCAGATGGCGCCGGATTACGCTAACCTTCAGGTAGACAGACTTTCTTTTGTTTTGACTTTGCATCACCCCATGCGATCGTGCTCCGATTGGTACGATAGCCCAGAGACGAATAAACGATTGACGCCAAAAGAATTGCGTACACACCCCACTCAGTCACTCACATTCACTCACCTCCTGGTCCAACAAATCAGTTCCCACTCTACCAGAGTCTCTTCTCACCTTCTTGCTGATGCACACATACAAACTTTGCGTCAACGTATCTGCATCCAGTCTGGGGGAGGTCTGTGGTTAGAATTTAAAGTAAAGTGAGTTTTAATTCGGGTCGGACAGAAAATAAGTTGTTAAATTATCTGTGTGCGTCAAGTTCTGTACTGCCGAGTAGTACTCCGTACTGGGGGAGGCTTTGGTCGTGTAAGGTCCAAGGTTGCTTCATAAATAAATAAACTTTCGCTTCCCTTTGAGCCCGTCTATTAAAAATCCGAGACCCTCCTTGACCTCTCAAAGTGCATTTCTACCCCTCTTCATTCATAGTACGGACGGACTGGTTTGCCTGCGAATTACCTGGAAGCAACTGACTGTGTAGGTACGTAATGATACAGATGACCGCTTGGACCTCAAATGGCTAATCTGACATTCGAACCATCTCAGGCACATCGAGTCTCAATCGCGGCTGAAACAGCTTCGACTGCACTGCATCGGTCAACCGCATACATACAACACCGAGTCCAGGGCACCACTGCCGGAGCTGGAAGAGACGCATTTCGATCCTTGGATATCAAATATAAAGGCGACCGGCGCCATCTTCCGTATTTAACCCTGGGGCTTCTTTAATAGCTTTCTACTCATCAACATTTTCTCAGGTGTATGAATCAACAATAGCATCGTCGAAGCTAAGCGGAAAACCACTCTATTTTTCAACCATTCCACTTTAGTCCAAGCTTTCCTGAGCCCCTTGATCCCCGGACCTGATCCCCGGACACGATACTCGCTAGCAAAGGCCGTGTCCACCCAAACACATGCAAAGCGTTCAGCGCGCCCTGGAGCAGCAACAAGGACAGGGACGGATCCAATTTACTCCAGTGAACCAAAGACTTGGAAGCAGCCGAAGCAGCCCAGCCCAGCCCAAGCAAGATACCAAATCGATCAGCAGTGCTTGGACCGAGCGTCAGAAAGAAACCGACCTTACTGTACCTTGGCCTAGCTGAGGAATTACCAGGACATGCGATAGATTCTCACCTCTAGCTACCGACCAACCTTTCCTTACCCTACCAGCTTACCTCCACCACCACCTTACCTTACGCCCGCGCCGCACGTTGCGATTCTCGCTGCCGTTGTTACCCTCTAAGTTCTCACCTATCTCCACTACCTACCTACACATCATCTGTATCTCTCTTACAATAAGTGAGTTACTTTACTAAGGTAAGGTGGTTAATGATATCACACGGTCTTCGTACCCCCTCTCCGTCCATCTCCCGTGTCCTTCTTCCAAACTATCCACTTCATTTCCCCGTTTCTCCTCTTCATTCCCAACATCATCCCTCTATCCGCACACACACTTGCAAGTTTTCGCAGGGTTGTTGTTTCATTCTCTATTCAATCTTTGGGAGCCCAGGATAAGTAACTACTGGCATCAGTATCCGTACCACTCTTGGGTGTTATCTGAGCTTTTAGGGGTATTCCGCCTGTCCCGTCACTCTGCTGCTACCCACCGAGTCACACTCTCTGGCTTGGTCTCCATTCCCTTGGCTCCTCTTACACAAGGTGTTTAAAGCTCGCTCGCTTGATTCAGGCACCAAGGTACAATCCCGTGTTCCCTCACCCCAGCGCATCTCCGTCACATACCAGTCTGGTCTTCGGGACACCCATACCTCCCACGCAGCCCCAAATCTACCAAGCATTTCCAATCCTTCCCACCATCTTCTCGCTACAGACACTACCGCTACCGCTACCGTTTCTCCCCTACCTAAGGTAGGTAGCCATGTCCTGCGGCTGGGGTATGGAGAGTTTCTGGCGCCCCCCTACATTAACCACAACGGCCCCCCTCCCCAATCCACGCAACATTCATTGCAACTTGCACCACACACCTGCCTGCTCTGCTCACTGCGACAGTCTGCCTGTCGCACTCCTTTTCACGTCATTTTCTCAGCGCATTCTATACATCATCTTGCTAACGCGACATCGCACGTACAGACGACACATCATTCTTGTCTTGATTATAGCGACCGTCAGGCCCAATTGCATACGGCTTGATCATTCGAGTCAATCATCGCTGTCACTTATCGACGCGCAACTGTTTATCTCGATCCTCACTACTCTGTAAAGGCGGATTGCGCCAGCTTGCGATCCCCCTCAAACCAGTCGCCCTTACTAGGTTGTCACTCATCTCTCAAAATTTGACAACACCGTTCATCCTCAACTTTGCGATTGCGCCCGCGACTGCGCCTGTATCCACGACGAACGCGATCACGACAACCTTGAACTCCCAGATCTCCTCGATCGTCGCATTCGCTTAACCCCAAATCATATTTCCCCGGCGAATTAGGTCTTGTTCCAACTTATGCAACTGAACAGTGGGCAATGAACATTGATCGAAGCGCACCACCATCCGATCCAGCAAGGATAGCATCTCCAACAGCCAATCTTTCCTATCGCGCAAGTCCTTTGCCGCCTCCATCCACTACTTCAGTCAGCCCCTCTGCTGCGACGACAACGCTATCCAACACCACAAGTACTGTTGCATCTGCCGCAACATTTTCAGCCATGGCTACACCTAGTTTTCTCGCTCCTAACTTTCGGCATATGCCACCACCATATACTCATACCCAGATCTCGCGCGATATCCACAGATACGCACCGGCGCCGATAGGCTCCTCATCTCCCCCCACGGTTCCCGTCTTCATTCGGCGCCTGCCACTAGAGACCTCCAAGGAGTCACTGCGGTTCATGCTGGTTTGGTCGCAAGAACTTGTTGAAGTCGAACTGCTTCCTGTGGAAAAATCTACAGATCAGGGCTATCTTACAGCATTGCTAAAATTCCGAACAATGGCAGGCGCCCAGGATGCCAAAAGGCTGCTGGATGGGTGCTCGAACACTTCCGGTGAAAAGATGATAGTCGAAATTCTCGGCGACGACCCCCCTGTCACGCACCAACAGCCGGCAGAACCTGTTCACAACGGGGTCTTTCAACCACTGGAGAGCATCTCCCCTCAAACAACCAATGTTTACCCTGGACACGAGCTTCCTCAGACTGAGGCCAACTTGCAAAGGATTTTCTCCTCACAATCTCCCATCGGCAATCACCTGACGGAGCCTGGCAGGGTGACAGGGAAGAGCCTCATCGCCAATGATTCTTTTGACGATAATTATGATACACCCAACCTTGTTGATGATGCACTTTCATACGTCAATGCACCGCGCAGGGCCACAGCCCCTACTGTCCCTATCAATGGGTTGACTGCTCTTTCACTCAACACCAACATGCCACCTTCCGCTCCTTCATCTCTACCTCAGTATGGAAGCGGATTGTCAGCACAGTCTGGGCCTATGTCTCCCTCAGGCAAGGGTGCTTTTGGATACCAGGCTCCAAACCAATCACCATTCGGACGCATGAACTATCCACACGCCAATACAGCTGATCAGAATCCGCCCTGCAATACTCTGTATGTTGGTAACCTTCCCATGGATACGGCGGAAGAGGAGCTCAAGACTCTCTTCTCCAAGCAGCGGGGCTACAAGCGTCTTTGTTTTCGCACGAAAGGAAATGGGCCTATGTGCTTTGTCGAATTCGAAGACATTCCATTCGCTTCGAAGGCATTGACCGAACTCTACGGGAAACTTTTGTCCAACAGCAATAAGGGTGGAATTCGACTCAGCTTCTCGAAGAACCCCCTTGGTGTGCGAGCTGGTCAGAACCCTGCTCATGCAAACCCGGGTGCACTGGGTGGAATGAACGGCAACCTTGCTGGTTCTGTGAATGCTTTCGGGTCAGCTAACCGACCAGCTCCTGGACCACCTCCTGGTCTTCCCCAACCAATGCTTGGAAACGGCCGAGGTCCCTTCCATGGAGCCGCCCCGATGAACCCCAGTCCCGCTGGCTCTTTTGGTGGTTTCACACCTCAAGCCTGGCCTGTTCCTGTGTTCAATAACCATGCTACGCCATCGCCTCATGGTGGCCATGCTCCATCATCAGCCTTCGGTTCGGCTTACATGCTGGGAAATTAAACAACCTGCTCGACTATGGTCGACGATTATAGTCCACCTGCTTCGGTATCCTGTGTGACTCTACCTGTCATGCGCTGCTTATTTATGTTTTCTTTCATTTTGCTCAATGATTCCCCATTTTTACGAACACCCATTTATTTTCATCGTTTATATACGGCGTTTTGATTCCTCGCAGTTGGGAGTGCTTCTTCAATTCACAGTCGTCTTGTGGATGGCTAGGCTGGGCGTGGATATGGTTCAAAGCCGACAGATACCAAGTATCAGTCAATCTTGATCTGATTAAACTTAGTGCACTGTTCGCCTGGATCTCATAGTTCGAGTTTAAGCCACAAACTCGAGCTACAACCTTCGACTTGGCCGCACCCTGTTTTCTCTCCATACAATTGGCAACTGCAACTGAGGCGCGATCTATAACTTTACGGTACAAAACCAGAAGAAGAGAAAAGCAGCAAAACAAAGAGAGTAGAGCACGACGAAATATTGCTGAGACTAGCAAAGAAGAATGATGGTCAGGAGTTGAGATGTGGCGAGTCACAAGGGAGAGTGTTTTTGCATGAAAGAACGGGGTTCAAGGAAGCGCGGGTTATTGAGATTCATTTGGTTCATATCAACGCTGGGAGTTTATTTGGGACAAGGTAAGGATGGATCAGGATTCCTGGAGCATGGAAGAAACTGGAGCGGTCGTCCCGCGTTTGCATTCAGAAGGATTGGAGCATGGGATTGGACGGCTACACGAGATCAAGGACTCAACACACACACGCATACCAAGATATCACCCCTGGGCATTTCCAGCAAACCGCATCGGCATGGAGGAGTTCATTTATTTGATCCATCACAACGGAAACTGGCGTTTGAAGTCCTTCTTGATGGTTATCTTGGTCAGACTTGGGCAACGACACAAGGCATACTTTAGCTTATCTGTTGCTGTTGAATCAGAGCTCATTCAAATGTCGCATTTGGAAGGGGAGGACAGCATTGAATGGAACATTGGGAAGGGACTGGGCTTAACGCGATATATCCATATAGGCACCGCGTCAGGCGTAGGAATCGGGCGTTTCTTTTCTATTTCTTTCTTTCTTTTCCGCGCATCGGAATTTGGGCTTTCACGCGAGTTGGGGCATGCATTAGCAAGCACAGCCTTTTACATCTTCATTAAGGTGGATGAAGCATATCACGGCGGATTACAGGCTTTCTTCTGGTAAATGTTGTTGTCTCAACAACACGGCTACAGATGCCTACCTTCGGTCGGTAGGCGGTTATTAGTGATAGAGTACAAGTTTCAGTTGTTTGTTTGTTTTTAGCCTTTGTGTCTCTGTGCATGTAAATGACATTCTGTTCCCTCGTTCTTTGACCAATTTGCCCTGACCTGCCACATCAATGAGTCTAGATCTGAATTGTCTGATCCCCGTCCTTGTCACAAAGTATTGATAAATCTTTCGGGGCATTCTCATACCATTAGCCTCATCATCACGGGATTGTTGGTTTGTCAGCGCTTGAATTGCACCTTCAATCTCAATACCTACCCAGTCAGCTTGGCGTTGTAACTACTACCCTTAAGAACATGGTGCATCGAAACTGAAGCCGACGATATCCTCGTCCAGGATCAAGAAATGCAACTTGTATATGCTTAAGTCCTAGAGTTTTGATCATCTGAGTATCAACCACCATCACCGGTGAGGCATATCCATCTCGATGAGCCGGGTTATTTACCCAATGGCTCTGAGACTTCCACGCATACGAATGCTGACAGGGTAAGGTAGCATTGTGTGGCTTGACAGATGCAAGTTAAAGTAGGCCGTGTATCTGAGTACGCGCTTCGTGTGGTGCTGCACTCGCTGCACTCGGCGATTCGCACACAGACCGAGGCGCTTGTGCCTGTGTAGATGCTCGTGCTCGTGCTACGCACCCTCGGGAACCGGTGACGGGAGCCCCCAAAGGATGGTGTTTGCCAATATGCATCTGTCTCTGTTTACAGCCTGTAGATGGGTTACACTCTACTACATAACAATATAGCTTACCCAGGTTCGCGGGCCGAGCCCTCGACGGGCGGGCGAGACGGGCGCGGAAATTGGCAAGGGGGAGAGATGCAGTGTGACAAGGGAGGTTGTCATGTGGGAATAACCGGTAGCAAGGGGGTGTGTGGGCGAGGGACAGGGGGTGGGAATGGGTGATTTCTATGTTGAGACGCCTGCAGAGGCACAGAGATTGTGTGGTCTGAGGTTATTGGATGAGAGAAGAGGCGGAGATGATCCGGTGGGTAGGGTGTAAGTTGAGAGGTTGATCAGATAATCTGCTTCTGGTGTTTATGTAGGTATATGTGAGGGGGATGCTCATGCGGGTGTGATAAACTTGGGACGACGGTGGTGACAGTGGAAATGGAGTTGCAGTACTCTGTAGTAGTCGATGAACCCAGGGATCGGGTATGCAAATTACCTAGAATGAAACTGAAACTGTAGCTATGAGATTGCTTACTACGTGAATGAAGCATCTGTCACATGTTTACCAGGGTAGTCGTGTTCAAGCTCGATGTTGACAACGCCAACTGTTTGAGGATAGTTGAGATATTGCACCCATTGGCGGTAGATATACAAAAGACAGAGACTCCACTAGCTCTACGAGTCCACCGAGCCATCATTTGCCCAACCCATGGTCATAGTCGCCCATAGATCATGGTACATAGTTTGCTGCCCATCGATACTCAGACTCGGTGTAAGCATTGCGGAATTCATGTCAAAGTCTGTGTCCCACGCCGAGATGTATGGCTGCATATCTTTATCGAACATGGGACATCCTTGGTGTCCCACGCCCTTTGAAGTCAGACTCGGTGCTGTGAGCATAGCAATGCGTCTGTCGTACTTTGCTTTCACAACACGCAGTATCACACGACTTGCGGAGAGTACGTCGACACGTTTACTCGACGGTGTGAGATCCTCCGGTCCGTCACACATGGACTCGAGAAATTCGTCAAACCGTAACTGTGAGCGTGCCCAAGTATGATCCCAGTCTGGAACATCAGATATGGGGAAAGAGAGTCGCACAGCGAGGATTACGGAGAGGATGAACTTTGTCCAATCAATGCTTGTGAAATATTGGAAGTTGTTGAGATTGAGGAGGTAGTCGAACAGGGCGCGGGTGTTATTCACGCAACGTGTGAGACGAGCTGATGATGGGTGGATGAAATGAGGTTTTCTTGTGTTGGTGCGTGTGAGGTAGAAGATGGCACCACCTTGCAAAAAGACGTCGAAGAACAGATGTGCGAGTTTCACAGGTGCTAGATAACGTTAGAAAATGGTGGCACTGCAATAATGATGGCTTACCTGAACGAGAGAGATGTGGTACCATGATCTCTTTCATCTCCCTGTGCTGCGTCTCGAGTCCCAACAGCATAAGTTGAACCTGCTGGTTCACCTGTGGATCATTATCTCGTATCGAATTATTCGCCGTGGTCGTCATATTTGCAAGTCGAACAAGGTAGCTCAGTGACACATCACCATCAACTTCCGCATGGCGGTGAAGTAGTTCGCAGCACGTTGTGGTCCAGGGCGTCCACTGAGGCATGAGAAGATCTATCTTCTTCCAAGTGCAGAGGAAGCTGTCCAAACTGTGAGTAAGTTGGTGCTGGTGTATTTTGAGGAGAACGTACTTTGACACGGCGTAGTGATATGCCAGATACGCCCGTAGTCTGTCGAGTTGCATACTGCTCATATCGCCCGGTATCGTGTGCTCAAGATTAGGCATTTCTTGGTCAAGATCAAGGTCGTTTAACAGATCACAAGCCATACGGTAATATTGGAAGGCTTGTCTGTTCTTGGGTCTTAGGTGAAATGGGTACCTGTGAATGTTAACAACATGCCAATCGGTTCAGGGCTGATTCTAACCAAGCGCAATAGATGAGAACCCCTTGTAGCAATTCCATGCTCCTCTCACCGCTTGCCACAAACTTGAGGCCCAACACTTTTCGGAATTCATCGTCATAGAGCGTATGTCCCTGCAAAGTGCGCGATCCAGATGCTGCAGCCAATATCGCCAACAAAACAAAAGGCTTCGTAGCAGCAAGACTGGCCACCGTCTCATCAGGCTTCAACACAATAACAGGATAATGAACCAACATCCCCCGAAATGAAACTAACAGCGACTCCGCAGAGTCAAGGTTGAACTGGGGTTTTGCATGAAGAGACTGTATCGAATGTGTGTGAGACGAAGATGGTGTAGGAAAGCCCGTGAGAGGTGAGTCTTCGAAGCTACTGAGATCCGTGTCTGGATCTGATGGAAATATCGAGTCTATGAACTGCGCATGTGAGTCGCGAAGGTTGTCAAAGTTCTCATCGACGTCTGATTGTGTTGGAACTTCAAAGTCAATGGTAAAAGTCTTTGATGGCGCTGGTGGTGGCGGAGGCGGTGGTTGGTGAGTTTCTATCGCGCTGTATGAAGTTATCAGCCCGATTCCCCAATGCGACAGAATATTTCCTACTATTTTGTTCTTCGTCTGCGTGTTCGCGGGCCTGTTCGCGATATACATTCTTTCTTGGACTCCAGACACCTTTCCACGTCAGATCATGGTCTGTAAACGCATCTCCGATTGAGAGGTCTTACTTGCGACAGACTCCAGGCTGCTCACTCGGTTGGCATTTTATCTTTGTAGCGCGACAGGCTTCACAGGCTGTTGAGACCCTCTTGCGAACTGGACAAGTCTCAGTTGATGGCGACTCGCTCGGCATTTGTGCGAGATGTCGATTGGTAGCGGTTTAATGTTGAATTGATCAATTGAAAGACATACGAGTCCAGCGATTGAACAATGAAAGAAAGAAGGAGAAACAGCCTAAGATGCCTCATGCGACAATGTGAAAGCGAGAGTCGTGACTTGCGCCGGGGTAATGAGGAACCGAATCATGCTCAATCGCCGACAGCTCTCGGATCTTATGACCCACACAAGACAGCTGACATGTATTGTCAACATCAAGTAAGCACATATATATACAGCCAGTAGGAACGTAGAATCTCAAACGATTCTCCCGGGCAATAGAATAGAAGAGATAAGATAGCGCTCGAGAGTTATGAATACACTGGTAATTTAATTGATATCTTGCCCAGACCCTTTCTCTGAGACGCCAGAACGAAACCTATACTAACACCCAAATAATAATACACCAACCGTCGTCTTGACAGAACTAATACATCTACACCTCATTCAACCACCGTATACTTCAGTCCCGGGTTTGCCTCCTTCAGAGTCTTGTCCACAACATCCCATAACGGTACTGCCAGCTTCTTAATCTCATAGGCAGCCGTCTTGAGTCCATGTTTTTCGTGTCTATGCCTTGCGAGATTGGATGCTGCACATCCAATGGAGCAGTATATAGTATCCCTCTTTTGATCGATGCATTCTCCGCACGCCACTGCGTTGCTAGTCCAGTCCTGCATTTCGATGTCTTCGTCCTCGTACTGCACACATCTATCTCCGCTCTCGCAGTCGTGCTCCATTTCATTGTGATCGCCCTGCTCAGGTTAGATTCATCCAGTCTGAAGAATATTGCAACACTCACAGCACCCTTGTTGAAGCAATCATCCGAGCACCATACTGTTAATTCCCTTTGGCCACCCATATGAGCAAGTGCTTGGCAGACAGAGCACGAGAGAACATTCTTAGGGTCCACTGTATCTGCACAAACCGCACATGGCGGTAGGCTGTATAGGTCCTGGGAAACAGCAGGCGTTTGGCTTGCTTGGGCTCGAGTCTTATTCTGTAGCCTGTTCTGCTCAAACGCCATCTTTGCTCGACGCAGCTCATCCAGTCGGTTTTTGTGATGATCACGTTGCGGTTCCGTCGTAAGGCTCGCTTTGTGATCTTGTGAAATCCGGTCAATGACTTGCTCGATGGACATTGTGTCGCTGGCCGCATACGCTTCTAGGTATTGCTGCGCATTTTCCACCACCTCACCCGTTTGTGGATCTTTGAAGAAGAAGTTGATATAGATCTGTTTCAATGATGCTGCATCGTTTTTGGCGACTGTAATCTGATCGGTAAGGGAGTCCACATCGGCTTCCCAGTTGGCTGGCTTGCCAACACCCTCCCATATCCTCTCAGTAAGCTCTTCCCAGCGCTTAACCGGGTCGTCTAGCATTGCTCTCAGTTCGTCTTGGTCTGCCCCGCCGTCTCCTACTGAGAGGAACTGCGGGTACATGCGTAGCACCCAGCGGTACCATGCCTCTTTTTCCGATGCAATACTGTCTTCGATTGACTTGAGGTCGATCTTCTTGTGATCTCTAACATCGGTAAACATGACGTCCAGTTCATTCAGAAATGCTCTTCGCTCTGAGAACCACTCTCTGCCTTCAGCATCGCAATATCGAGCACGCATCCTGTCGAGGACTTTGGGGAAACATTTTTCGCATTCCACCACGTTTGCTTTTTCGCATTCTGATAAACACGTCTTCTTGATGGCATCCACTTCGTCGGCACATTGTTGTCTGTGCACTCTGGCTGCGCTCAACTCTGTCCAGTGCTCTGGCAGAGCAACCTTGCCAGTTGAACCCATTTCCCCAGCAGCGGGAGTTCCCAATCTTGACGTGACTGGATGGAATCCGTTCTTGATCTCTAAGTGGTAAACTTGCAAGAATGATTGATTCGGGGGGTTGGCAAGAGGCCAGTAAAGCTAAGGTTGTTGAAATTTATATACAATATGGGAAACGGTACTGGTTAGGTCGATGGCTTACCAGCTTGTAGTTAATGCGTGGCCTTTCTGTGATTTATCAATTCGTGTTACCGCCGTCTATTGTTCTTGATGAAATGAGAAGCAGGGGTCATTGACTGGAGATCTGTAGGTAAAGTCCAAACTGCCGATGTTTAAGCGGTGTACATCAGCTGGGCAACTGGTTCCTCCTCAATCGTTACCAGGCCATAATCAAATTCTCTCTTGCTTCTATACTTTTAAGATATTATGTAGGATAAGAGGATATGCATTACACCCTTTGTTTTTGGCCTGGATAGAAGGCTGTGAGCGGCACCAGTCAACATCCTGACTTACATTGAGATAACTGCCTGGCATGAATCAGATAACAATGCCCATAATGACAGTAACGGAATCATTTCTTAGATATAATTTTTTTTTTAATAAAAAAGGAGATGAAGTAAATCTTCCTAGTATAATATTTCATTTGTATCAATTCCTGTCACTTCAACAGGTAAGGTATTGTATTGTACATGTCCTGGCGTTATGCACATACCGAGGCGCCCTATCTTATCAGTCGCATCAACTTTCATCATTTCGCGATCTGGGCGCATTCGTCTGCTAACAAACAACCATCTCTCATATCAAGCAACATGGTATGCCCCATCCAATTCCAGAATTATGGACTTCAAATGCTGACATAAAGCAAGGCCGACAAACTCCGCACCCAGCAAGAACTCGAGCGCCTCCAAGCGAAATACGTCGGCACTGGTCACCCAGACACGACCAGCTGGGAATGGCGCACCAACATCCAGCGCGACACATACTCCTCCATCGCCGGCCACAGACCTCTTCTCTCCTATATCGCGCTTGCTGAGAATGAACCTATCTCCAAGATTCGCGCGCAGATGATCAGGGTATGTGAAGTTGCTACTGGTTAGAGAACAACAGCTAACTTTTGGGCGTAGAAAATGGTACAGCCTTGTGGTCCTCCTCCGCCACGCGAGGATTAGAACAGACGAATATAGGACGTTGTATACAGAGTTAAAATATTCAACTTGGTTTCGCTCGGGAATTTGGAAAGGCGTCAAGGATTAATACCCCTATGGTAGGGAAGATTTAGACCTACAATACGATATTTCACCATACAATCTTGCGAACAGTCTCGGTCTTTAAGATTAATTATTTGGCCTGTATTGGGGTATCATAATGTCGACATTAGTCCTTGTCCCTTCTGTCTTAATCCTGCATTCGACTAGCTTCACCCACAGCTTCGTCGTCCTCTTCGCCATCCTGCTGAGGCGCATCTCTGATGTTAAGACTTGCACGAAGCTTCTTCTCGTTATCCTCGTTCCAGCTGTCGCCATAAACCTCTCGCGTCATGCCCATCACGCCTTCGAGGCCAACTTCTTCTTTTCCACGCGGGCCCACATGCCAAGTTGTAGTTGGGTCGCCGTCTTGGCCCAAAGGTGGCCTTTCAACTCTCTTGATGACGTAGCCTTGTTTCTCCATCCTCTTAAGGATTATTTCTGTCTTGTCCATTGACACATTCTGGTCGGCGTTGAGCCGCTGAAGGTAACGCTTCAACTTCTGTTCGCTCAGTTCTCCGCCGTTGAGAGAAATCAATGAAATGACCATTGTGTAGAATCCTGCGTATGTAGCCTCGTCGTCCGCACTTGGTGTCTTGGATGGGGCGAGAATTGTTGCATGGCGATACGCTTCTGGTAATATCGATGTAAGGATGTAGGCACCAGAACCAAGCTTGGGCTGGGCATTAGCCTTCATAGCTATGCGTTGTTAGTAGCTGGATCAGGAACGATGGATGATAGCTGTACCTTGGCGCTTTTCCTGGAGTGACATCTTCTCTCTAACAGGCAACTCCCTCAATTCCATGCCCCAGACTCGTCTGAGCTGTGTTTGCGCCAAGTCGAAGATGCGCCTGAAAGATCGGCCTTGGGTGCCGAGGACTATGCTTGAATTAGCTTTGGCCTGTCAATCCACGGTTGCCATTGTTACCTCGTTCTTTGATACCGTCTCGACGGATCGCGGTTCTCGAATATTCGCAGGAAATAACATACCGCACCAGCTTCTTCACCAGTTGATCGTCAGCACTTTGGGTATGGCGTTGGTCTCCATCCATTTCGGCGTCGCTTGGTTCTTGTTCGTTCTCGTCCTCAGACTCGATTCTATTCCGTTGGCGAGGGCGAACATCTTCCTCTGATTCCTCGTCTTCGGCCTGAAGCGTATAGTAAGTTAGCTTTGTTCTGTTGGTGAATCACGGACGAATTGAACACACAGGACGGCGGCGCCTTTGTGTAGGCATAGTAATGGCAAACAGTTGTTGTTACTCAATATCAATCTTACACAGACACTCAGACCAATGCAACTAAAGGTACAATGATGCAAATATTGGCGACTTGTATGAATGACAAAGATGGAGGGGCTGGCTTATACCTACTGACGAAAGGCTATACGCGGTTTCCCCAACTTAGACGCGTTGAGTCTTATCAAGCAGGTAGCTTATCGCTTATCGAGTTATCGCTTATCGGATAAAATTTCTAGTAACACTGATCTCTAGTTTTGGGTAATTTCGGTCGCATTGTCGCATTCTGCTCCCTCATGGGGCTTCCCTTTTTAATCTTTATTTCTCGATGATTTCTAGAGCGGTCCGAGTGCCGCGAATTCGCCTGGCATGCAGGTTCGGCTTAATAACACAACGCAGCACTGGATTGGGCTTCCGGCCAAGTCCAGTCCATGAAGGTTTGGCACGACGATTATATACATCCAACATTGGAAATGCAGGGCAGAACCAGGTTGAGCCTTTTATAACGAATACGGACGCTTCGAAAACAATGCTGAAAGAAGAGCAAGTGGACGAAGAGTCAAAGGTTTCACCTACAGAGTCAGAAGATGCGACATCGGCTCCGAATCATCCCTCCACCACCGACGTCGACTCTGAGCCAACTAGAAGCTCCGAAGAAATTCGATTATACGAGGGCCCGATCTCCAAACCTGATCTCGACTTAAAGGCTTCTCCTGACGACGAGACATCCCCCGAGAAGCCAATTGACGATGCACAAGCAATACTGGACGATGCATTGGACGAATCCTCATTACAACGACAAGCGTCAGGATATGTTTTACCTGATCTGCCCGATTTCCCCGAATCGTCGTCAAGACGTTCACCTAGTTCCGAACAGTATGCGCTGGACGACCTCTTGGGAGAATCGCAAAAGCCAGGGATCGAGGTATCTGCACTACCTGAACTAGAAGCCCAAGATGTTGGGGACGAACTCATGCCCTTACCAAAGAGACGTCTCCACGATCGCCTCATGCACGACGAATCCCTTGGAGTCTCTACTCTGGGAATGCCAGCTGATGCCATTATCATCAACAATCCGAATAGGACACGCATCGAGCGGCCAGCCCCAACCGTGATGGCAGCGGAACCCCTGGAAAACACAGATCTTGACTGGGAGAAGTTGACTCCTACCGAAATGACAGAGCCCGAAGCTGAAGAGATATTCAAAAATATCGACGAGCTTCGCCCCGTGAGTCGTATCTTGCGTTTAACGGATATCGACAAGCTCGTTGACGCTCTTTGCAACGGTTTCACAGTCACCCAGCTCCGGGAGTATCATAGTGCTCGCAAGCCACAAACCAAGGATCATGACATAGTAAACTACGAGTGGATAGAAGAGAGTGTACCATGGACATCAGTGAACTCAGTTCGACTACGTGGTAATGATAAGACCACTATTGCTCAGAAGATCGTATTGGATAAATGGAAGATCGAGGTTCAGGAACATGTGGACGATCTTGGAAAAGCGTTCATTTGGATGGACCCTGACATCTTCCCCTTTCTCACATGTTTGTTCCCAAAAACCTGAGTCAGGTGGTATATCTGCTGACTGACGATCATAGATGGTCCCAACAACATAGGGCGTCTGCTCTGGGAGCTTAGAAGGGATTTCGTAGTTGGCGAAGACGAGAAGTTAACACTACATACCCCAAAATGCCGCCTTAATATTACAGCGAAGAAGTCAACTACTTACGGTATCCTCGCCTATATCGACCAGGCCGTGCAGAGGATGAAGAGCCGGGTTATCGACGTTGCCCCCTTTCTTCCGAAGAGTCGATCCGTAGCCCTGACGTCGACAGAGCGTAAGGAGCTCGGCCGGCTAACTAAGACTTCCATTACCCCTGTAAGGCATGGCACCCAGGAGGTATGAAATTCCAGTTGCTCATAAAACGTACAATATCATACTAACTGGCTTCTAGAAGTTGCGCGTCTCCTGGATGCCCAACCCTGACGAGCCTCCAACCGAGACAGAAGATCTTGCAGACACAGTATTCCGCTTAATCGTTGGCCGTGTCGTCCCGGGCGCCGATCACGGTGTCCTCCAGTGTCTTCCGCCATCGAACGAAGAAGACCTAGTCACTGGCCAGCCGGTCCCTATACAACGCCAGGCTCGGGCTATGTCATGGAGAGACAAGCTTCAGAAGTGGCTGAGAATTGTCGCACCCATCAACAAGAACACTCAAAACAATTCACCCCTCAGGCTGCCCTCCCTATCAGTGATTCCCGAAGAGAAATGTCCTCGCACTGGAAATACAGACGCTACTACAGCAACGTTTGGCCATATCCTACACCAAAGCGCTAGCACTTCGATAAAGGGGCTCTACCGCAAACGCCGAATCCTAGCTCCCCTTACACCCCATCCCGCTGCTTTCTCCGCCCTCAAACCCGACAACAACCTGCCTCTAAAGGAGACTACTTCCATTGTTATGCACCTTTCACCTCACGTCGATCCTCCAAAGAGTCCAGTAACAGGTCCTAAGAAGAAATCCCCTGCAGATCCTGCCGTCTATATTACCATCCCCGTCCACCCCCAGGCCGACCTCGACAACTTCGAGATCCCAGACGACGTAACCGCCCACTGTTATGTGCCCTGGCACAACAGCGACGTGCTGCTTCCTACAGAGGCTGTCGATGTCCGCCTTGAGCACAAGCGCTCCTATACTCTCAAAATAACCCACACAGGCCTGAAGAGTTTCTTTGAGAAATCGCAACTCAACCTTCGTGAAGGTCAACTTCGAACACCTAGCCAGGCCATGCTCAATGTTCCCGGATCATGGTTGCGAGGGAGTCGCAGCGGCAGGATGAACACTGAAAAAAGAGACGTCCTTTACGATTTCCGTGGGACTGAGATCCATCAGACGGTGGAAATGCCTTGGAATGGCCACACGCTGCGCTACTCTAGTATCGAAGCTGGACAGCACGGCGGCCAACGCCAGGAGATTACACTCCAGGCTGGCTTACCAGACGAGAACCCAGTTGCTTTCAAGGGTGAGAGACGTGTGAGCTTTCTACAACTGGTCGAAGACATGGCCACTGGAAAATGCTTCTCTTGGTCTGAAGGCTACAAATCCATCAAGAGCCGCCAACTAGAAGATTTCAGTTACAATCTGCCTGAAGAAGGTCTCCCTGAGGATGTCATTGTCGACAATGAAAAGTTTGATTCGCGCGGCCGCGTCAATCGATCCAGATCCGCTGGCGCAGACAGTGACGAGCCTGAGCTGCATGGCCGTGTCAATCAACATAGACCAGCCATCAAGATAGGTCATGACAGATCTAATTCTCATGGTCGTGTCGGTGAGCATGAGTCAGCCACGAGGGCGAACAATGGCAGGCTTGATTTCCGTGGCGGCGTAGATGAACGCACGCCGGGCCTAAAGCCAAAGAGAGGGGCTCCAGTTGAGACTTTTGATGACATAGACGCATTGTTTGCAGCAGAGGGCCAGATCTTTGAGGTCAACACCGACAAGAAACACGAGCCTGACGAACAACAGCCTGGCGAGCAAAAGCCTGACGAGAAAGTGGCTGACAAGGAAGTGGCTGACAAGGAAGTGGCTGTGGAGGAAAAGCCTGATGCTATTACTAAAAGCAAAGCGACAGATGATCTCATGAGTTTCCTCGACGAGTACGCCAGCCCCAAGGCCTTTGTGAGTGAAGACAACAAGAAGCTCTACGGCATCGATGCTGCCTACTACCACAAGAAGTCAAGGACGAGCGTTCCTAAGGATACTCCGATCAACGACTCGCCAGAAGAGAAGGCCACACCCACGAAACCTCAAAAGGAAGATGTTGCAACTAAAAAGGAGAAGACTCGCAAGAAGGTCCAGAGTGAGTACTTCGCAGCCCAGGATCCAGTTCCCAAGCCCAAAGCAACACCAAAGAAACCAGCAGCTACCAAGAAAGCCAAGGACAAGCCAAGCAAATATACCCTCCCAGATCTATGGAAGCCCGCCACAATGTCAGATGCAGATGCATTTGCTGCTCAGTTTGCCAGACGAGCGACTTCAGAGAACAGAGAAAAGGACCAAAACAGCGTCGTTGGTTTCTTCGACACCCTTCCAGACGAGAAGAAGCCTGCTAAAAGGAAGCCCGCTCAAAAGAAGAAGCCTGGTCCGAAACGAATACAATCGACATCGCGTAACTCGAAACGCAGGAAGCCTTGAGCCGCTCCCAAACGAAGTGTTTGGACATGCTACGACCGAAACGATGTCAGGAGTACGAATGTCGGTATGAACAAGGACGATTATTCATGATGCTTGCGCGTCACTCTCTCGCGCCTCTCTTTCTCTACAGCACAATGTCGGTTGTGACATGCAACGTTGCAAATGAGGAGACCGTAAACATTGCAAGAGGTAGCTCTGGACACGCAGAAGGAGAAGGAAAAGATAATATTGTATGTTAAAATAGCATGTATATCATATGTAACATCATCATTAGACGAATATATAGAGGAAGGGAGCATTATGTATCATCAGACACACCAAAATACAGCATCAAGACATCGCGGTACAGAGCAGACTGCATCACTGACTGCCACGCACAATGAGCAGTCCACCCGAACAACCTATTGACACGTTGACGATCGGGGTCAACGTACAAATATTGCGAGACATACAGCGGATAGAAGGGTGCAGCACTTCAGCGATTGAGCGTTGGTAACATCACAAGCTTCATTTGCAGCAGTCACATCACATCACAAGCATCATATAGGAACAAGAAATTTTTGCACGAATCACTTCTAGACTCTCTATTCTTTTTTTGATTTGCACACAACCGAGATCCTGGCCTTTTTTCTTTGCCTCTCATTATGTGCCCCCAGACAAAAGCCGAGTGCTCATGCCAACATGATCATTTCGTCGTAGAAGCGAGTACATCAGCCCTTGGGCGTGAGATCGAAGTCGTGAGATCCCACAGAAGGTTGTCATTTCAGAAATAAGTTGCTTATTTCTTGGCGGCCTTGGCAGCGGACTTGGTGACCTTGCCGGAAGCACCGGTGGTCTTCTCGACGGCCTTGATGACACCGACGGCGACGGTCTGTCGCATGTCACGGACGGCGAAACGACCCAGAGGAGGGTAGTCAGTGAAAGCCTCAACACACATAGGCTTGGAGGGAACCATCTTGACGATGGCGGAGTCACCAGACTTGATGAACTTGGGGGCGGCCTCAGTAGCCTTACCGGTTCGGCGGTCGATCTTCTCCTGGATCTCGGCGAACTTGCAGGCAATGTGGGCAGTGTGGCAATCGAGGACGGGAGCGTAACCAGCACCGACCTGACCAGGGTGGTTGAGGACAATGACCTGGGCGGTGAAAGAAGCGGCAGCCTGAGGGGGGTCGTTCTTGGAGTCACCAGCGACGTTACCACGTCGGATGTCCTTGACGGAGACGTTCTTCACGTTGAAACCAACGTTGTCACCGGGCTGGCCCTCAGTGAGCTGCTCGTGGTGCATCTCGACGGACTTGACTTCAGTGGTGACGTTGGAAGGAGCAAAGGTAACGACCATACCGGGCTTGATGACACCAGTCTCGATACGGCCGACGGGAACCGTTCCAATACCACCGATCTTGTAGACATCCTGGAGGGGAAGTCGGAGGGGCTTGTCAACGGGACGCTTGGGGGGCTCGATGGAGTCAATGGCCTCGAGGAGGGTCTTGCCAGAGAGCTTGCCGGACTTGATCTCACGCTCCCAACCCTTGTACCAGGGGCAGTTGGTGGAGGGGGTAAGCATGTTGTCACCGTTGAAACCGGAGATGGGGACGAAAGCAACAGCCTTGGGGTTGTAGCCGACCTTCTTGATGAAAGAGGAGGTCTCCTTGATGATCTCCTGGTAACGGGCCTCAGACCACTTGGTGGTGTCCATCTTGTTGATGGCAACGATGAGGTTCTTGACACCAAGGGTGTAGGCAAGAAGAGCGTGCTCACGGGTCTGGCCATCCTTGGAGATACCAGCCTCGAACTCACCAGTACCGGCGGCAATGATGAGAATAGCGCAATCGGCCTGGGAAGTACCAGTGATCATGTTCTTGATGAAATCACGGTGACCGGGAGCGTCTGGATGAAACGTTAGTACAATGATGATTGTGATGAGACATTAGCGACAACATACCAATGACGGTGACATAGTAGCGAGGAGTCTCGAACTTCCAGAGAGCAATATCGATGGTGATACCACGCTCACGCTCGGCTTTGAGCTTGTCAAGAACCCAGGCGTACTTGAAGGAACCCTTACCGAGCTCAGCGGCTTCCTATTATTGAGTGGTTAGTTACTGTTTGACACGTGATGATCCGCGCTCATTGTGATTGTGTGGGAAGAGGGCAAGCGCGACCGTCTCGAGTGGCGGGGTAAATGCCCCACCAAAAAATATTACGGTCGCACCGCAAATTTTTTGGCCTCGAGCGGGGTAGCGGGCAAGTTTCGAGTTGTATGGGAGCGGCGAGTCGAAGGGAAAATCGATGGGCAAAAGGGCGCGCGATCGAAGGGAAAGTGACTAACCTTCTCGAACTTCTCGATGGTTCGCTTGTCGATACCACCGCACTGGTAGATCAAGTGACCGGTCTGTGAAATACTGTCAGCATGTTGCGATTGAAGCATACCCCACCAGGTCTTGGTCGGGATTGACGAAAGCAGATAAGCATATCGTCGAGGGTTGTACTTACAGTGGTCGACTTGCCAGAGTCGACGTGGCCGATGACGACGACGTTAAGGTGAGTCTTGTCCTCCTTACCCATTTTGACGGTTGTGGATGATTTGTGATAAGGTTTTTGATGTACGTGCTGTGAAAAGGTCAGCGGCCGAAGAGACGATGCGAGGAAAGCAGGCGATGACGAAGAGAATCGCGAAAGAAACTTGCGATGAAGCAATAGATCTTGTCGATGTTCTTCATCAAGGCCTTGAAGGGTTGCACATACAAAATCGCAGATCGGATGCTTGAACCGGGTATGCGAGACGAGGAGGGAAGAGAAGAAAAAATTCAAGGGAAGTGGTGGGAGGAGGAGATTTAAAAGGTGAGCCAGAGGAAGGAGGGGTGGGGTGGGGTGAAAGGCAGGTGCAGCGCCGCGGGGCAACCAGCTTGGGAAGCCCTAACAGCTCAGAGGTTTTTTCACAAGGCAAGTGGGTCATATCAGCCAATCATTAAGCTGTAAAGCATAATGACGGCGAGTGAGTAAAGGCCTGGTCAGACCTCAGGAATGGTACGAGGAGGGGCAGAAGAAGCTTGACGAGGAAAAGATATCAGAGGTTTGTCGTTAAAATCGAGTGGTTTTGATCAAGTATCTACTGTGGCCATTCCTAGATCACACTCTACACTGCTGCGCATTTTGAGGAGTCTTTGCGGTGTTGCTGGCCGCTCTCAAAGCTGATATCTGGATGAGCAAGCTGGCAGGTTCAGCGTAGCACGTATCGATTCTCAACGAACGAACAAGCCTCGGCACTCGAAAAGGAACTCAGTAAATATGCTGTCTTCCAGTGTACTACGTACGTTATTTAGAAACAAGAACATCACCATAGCGCCTTTAGCTGCTCTATCAGCAGCTCAATAACCTATCTCGACCTCTTTCAATATTTGTCTTCCACCAGAGCAATCAAAGGCGCTGGCTTTGTGTGGAGGTACAAGCGAACTGTTAGGCGGGTACATGCGGGGCAGAATTTTTGCGATTCTTTCTTGTGCGCATCGCCGCCCAAAGGAAAATTTCTCACTACGGCCTGAAGAAAAATTCGATCATGCTGGCGGTCGAGGCTCGGTGGGTTACCCTTTCGTGTGGTGGATGCGCGGGCGCGTCCTAAAATTGTCTGGGGCCTGTGGCCTGTGGCCTGCTACGAGACGAGCATGGCTCTGGGACTGTTCTGCCCAACGCAGCATCTCAGGATTTTTTTTGCCCCTCAATTTCACGTCCGTCAGCCCAACGCAACCACGGCGTGAGTCACTTGAGTAATATTATCATCTTATTCTTGTATTCGGTGAATACTCTCGCGAGAATGCCATGCCGATACGAGTATTCTGTCCGAATGACTCTCTCTGTTGGCTCTGCGTTTTCTTCCACGTTCGATCATCGAGGGAGGGGGAGCTTCAAAACTGCCCCTCCTCTCTTGCGTGGTCTGTTTCTGGCTCAAACTCCCTGCACGAATCAACGTCATGCTCCACTGATTCTTTTAGCGCCTGTGGGTTGCCACCACCGCTGCGCGACCAGTGCACGGAAGATCTAGCCTTGGCTGGGATGTCCTGTCGCTGTGAGGTGGTCAAACAGGAAGTTGATTGTCTCATATCAAAAATTTTCAAGCTGGAGGGGTAATACAGTGAGGAAGAAGCGAATATCAACAGTTCAGTAGGTATCATGATGTCACGTAGATCATGTATTTGATCCCATCCATCAATATCCACAACATTTATGTGGTAAATCACTTTGGCCATAATCTCCGCTCATTGTTGCATTTTCTCGTCTTGGTCTTGCGCCTGTGTCTCTTCAAGCTATTGTTTACTCGTGTTGTGCCCCTCCCCCTCCTTGTCAACAACCCCTCCATGAAAGTCCAGCCCAAGCAAAGGTTGCTGGGATCAATAGGCTCTAACCAACGACCAAGCGCGCCAGAGCAAAAAAAAAAAAAAAGGAGGGGCAAAAAAACTTATGTCCAGCCACTGTGGAGCCCACATCAAGCACAGCTGCAGCTCACCTTGATCTGTTGTGGGATAGTCGTGCTCTTGGTGGAGGTCCAGATGAGGATTTTGCGATTTCATGCAGCCTCAAGTGCCACTCTGATATCTCGAGCCATTGAGGAATTGCCAGATTGTCAAACACAAAAGTTAGCATCACTGCACTTTATCCGTATGACACAGCTGAAACTACCGTCCAACTGCCACCCTGATGGCTCTGATGGCAGAAACGTATCAGTGTAAGCCTAATGAAGAACTCTTGAGCATTGTGGGATCTTCTTGGCCATGAGATTTCTCCGTTGAACTCATGGAGGCTGTGCCCTTGTTGATGGATTGTTGCGACACATGTCAACAATCTCTGGGCTTTGTTTGGGCGCATACTCACGGCGGCTAGTGTTCATCGTCTCCATCCTGATATCTTTTTGTTGTCACATTGCCATTATGGAGAACTCTGTCTGAGAGTGTTTGTCCACTGTGGATATGCCCTCGCTGCATGCATCGGCTCCGCTGGAGGCCTGTCGCCTCGAAATTCTCCTTCACTTCACTTGAGTCTCACGATATCTTCCGTGGAGGATGCAGCATATGTGAACGTCTCATGATTCATCGATGAGAAATTTCACGCTCTCTTCGCTTTTCTAGACCGCTACTACCAGTATTGGATGTGATTTTGTAGAGAACCTGAGGTATCAAGAACTTTGATGATCTCGATGTCGAGTTTAGGGTAGCATCATGATACACCACCTGATACAAGCCAAGCTTTACTGGTATCGAGGATCGAGGGATCATTATGAAAGTCTGTGTATGTTTATTATGACCAATGGTAATAATTGTGAAAATTGAGTGCCGCTATCACCTCCCTGTTGAGCTTGACCTATCCTGGCGGCCAAGCGGAGCCATTCCAAAATCCATATAAAGACAACCTCCCCCCGGCTTGTGTTACACATGAATGTCTGAGTTGGGTATCGTAAGCTCGTACACATTATCCCAGACAGTACGGCTCAAGACGAATTACCAAAACCGAAGATACTGGCCATTTAATTGATTATTCAGATCTCGAAGTCAATTGCTTTCTATCGAAATCCCGAGAGTTGAGGTGTATTCGGGTTTGAAGCTCATCAACACCACGAAACAACGACACTGCGACCACTCAATCACTCAATCAGCAGCCGCGAAATAACAGTAACAGTGCCGATGACTCGAATACCACCGCCCCCCCAAAGCCGAATTCTATCCAATTACTGTGCAGCGCCCTGCACGCTCCCGTCTTGTGAACCCGCAGCATCCCGTCACTGCCTATAACCGCCCCTTTTTCAACAGGATATAGCCCGTCACAACAGTACCCTCTCTAACAAGCGCTACCAAAGACCTCGTGGTCGAACGGTTAAAGCAAACGAAAGCCCGTATAGAGTAATAGTTAACTCGTTGGACTCCTATAACAGTATAGGCGATAGCCAAGGATCCTGGTGCAAATCCGGGTGCGGGTGGTATTTTTTGCATTTTTTGGGCTTCCACTTTTTGCTGCACAAGTCTGGCTGAGTAACCAACGCTTTACTCTGCACGCAATGCGGTTCGAACACCCCCTTGGTCTTCCTGTCTTGGGAGACTCTCGCAATAGGAGGTAGGGTGCTGTACACTCAACTTTCAAGTCTGCCCAACATCACCACCACCGTAGAAATCTCATGTCGAAAGTAAAACCAAAACTAAGCGTAAAGCATCAAGCGTACAGAATATGCTACGATTATCTATGAATGCTGCTATGTACCTTCAGTCAAGTCCAGCTTAACCAAGATCCATGTGATATACAAATCTCCTTCATACAGCCCTTATTGGACCTTACCCTCAACCTTCTTGCCCTTAGTGTCCACACCCTTGGGTGTCTTCAATCCACCAAACACCGCCGCAGCGACAACAGCAATACCTGTTGCGCCCATACCATATGCCACCTCACGGCCAGCCCACCAGTACACACTTGTGAACAGGATAGGGCCGAGACCTCGACCGAGCTGACCCCAGCTTCGTAGCATGCCGAGCTTGTTGCCGCGCTCGTCCTCGTGAGCCTCGAAGCTGGAAAGTGCATTCAGACCCGTAACGACAGTAGCTGATGTAATGGCCAGGCACGTAGCAGCAAGGTACAGACCACCAATTGTGTTGACCTGTCCCAGAAGAATGAAGGACGCAAGGCAAGCGAGGGTGCCGATTCGAACAGACATCAAAGGTGGGAGTCGTCGTGTGACACCACCCTGGAGAATAGAAGCCACAAGACCAACATAGCCAAGTAATCTTCCATTCTTGCCGGAAGTGAACGAGAAGAGCTCGTATGTCATAAAAGACAGAGAACTCTCCATGCCGGAAAAGAAAAGCAGAAAGACGAAGTGGATGGCGTTCAAGAGAAAGTGAGAGTTGGTCCTCTCAATAGCCTTGGGCGTGGCCTTCTTCTTCCCGTCGTCCTTAGCCTGAGCACCACGTAGCGATGGTAACGTCTCAGGCAGGCTGAAGTATAGATACACTGTTTCCACAACAATCAGCGCAAGACTGAATCCCGCAGCTGCGGCAAAGGGGTTCGCCGTAAATGTCGAGAATGTGCTGAGCCACGCGCCAAGACCAGGACCGAAGGTGAAAGCGATTGAGAAACACGCGCCGATCAAAGCCATAGTTGCACCGCGAGACGACTCGTCCGAGATATCACTTGCCATCGCCGTAGCGAGCTGGACATTGCCTTCTGATAGCCCACCAACGACACGACTTGCGATGAATGTACGGAAATCGACAGCAGCGACCCAGAGCAAGACAGAGAGAATGTTGCCACACATGGAAGCCAGCAGAGCTTTGCGACGGCCATATCGATCGGAGAGGGCGCCGATAAGAGGAGATGCAATGGCTTGCAGAAGTCTATAGAGTAAGATTGTCAGCTTGCGCCTCAACGTTTACTGGCTTGTTCGACGGTTACGCACGAGAACAGAGAGCCTAGAGCCCCGCCCAGCAGCACGATGTCATGTCGCGACTCGATAGGACGGGAGAAAGAAGCCTTGTATCGGTGGAGGCCTGATAGGACGGTCTGGAGGAGAGTTTGAGGTCCGTCGTGGCCGATTGGCTCCTGGCCTTCACGGTCGCGGTAGAACTCGAGAAGCTTGGGGAACAAGGGAAGGATGAAGGTGAAGGAAATCTAGCAACTTTATTAGTAAGGAAACCATATTGAATTGTTCTTATCACATACCAGATCGAGGAGTAGCGAGACAGCAATGACCCGGAGGACTCGCTTTCTCGCTGCGGGATCGAAAGTAGACATTGGCGCTATATGAGGACAGATGGATTTGAAGTAATGAACAGAGACAGAGATATGGAACGGATGTACAAGGAAACAAAATGGCAATTATGTATAAACAGAGAAGAAAAGGGACAAGAAATGAATAAAAGACCGAAGAAAGAAGCTCAGGAGACAGTGGACACTTGCTGGTCTGACGGCATCTGATCTCGGAACAGAAACGTGGTGTTTGGTGGCTGCTTGCTTTGACCAGGCCCAATAGAAATAGCTGCGTCACTACCACTAGAAGAGTGGATGTGAATGGTCTCAGGTCTGTGGCGTGCGGGTATCCCCTGTAATTTAGGGGGTCTTTGCTGCAACCTCTTGACGGAGGCACTCCACATTTGATGCTTTCTCGATGGTTGCTAATCCTTGAGCTATCGATGGAACTGCCGTGAATGTTTCAATACGAGGTGATAGATCGACACTAGAAGCGAATTACAGGGTCACATTGAGAAGAAGCTAGAAAATATGCTTTTTGAATGGGATATTTGTAATTTTTCGTTGTTTTTATCGAATCTGATGTTTTTCGTAAAAAGGGTATTTGATATGATTCTGTTTCTCCGATTCTCCTATCCAACCAGTTCCCTGGCCTTCAACACAAGAAAAAGGATACAGTTCTGTATCTCATGATCCTTTCGGATTCGGTATTCGTGAAAGTCCATATATCGTATTTATCATGACAAAGAAGATCAACCTCTAATCCGTGCGCCTCATTTGGCTTGAAGATTTGGTGTTGACTGTAAAGGCCTTGTTGTTCATCCATGTTCAACACAGATGCTGCAAAGCTTTAGGATCAACATCCTCTTCTCCAAAACACGGTAACAAACAAAGCCAGAAGGCTATTGGAAAGCAATGCAAAACGTAAACTCATGACATAGAAAAAGGCACGTATGTGCCGTATCTTATAAACATCAAACATGAAACTCATAACTTCTCATGACATGACATGATCGTAATTCCATCATATAAACTCATTTCCATCAAAAGGTTCATAAGAAAGACATAAAAGGTGTTGGGTATCGCAAAGCAGAGCAGGGGTAAGAGCCACAGTGGCGACAAAAGCAGAGCAAAGCAGAAATACCTAACCCTTGATATAGTAGTGAAGTGTTTGGCTTCACTTAGTAGGCTTCGAAGACGAAGCGGAATCCCTCGGATCCCTTGTAGGGAATAGGCATGAAGTAGTCGGCATCAATCTCGCAGTCTCGAACTCGTGTCTCGAAAATGCTGAGGTAGCCGACGTCTCCAAAGCGCTGGTCGCCATCATCGCTTCCATACACAACACCACCACTTCCCCATCTGCGGAAGAGTTTGGCAAGTGTAAGATAAAGCTCGGCGTGAGCCAGAGCCATGCCGAGACAGATGCGCGAACCGGAGCAGAAGATGTTGAGATACTTGTCAAGTCGCTCTCCATCCTCAACCCATCGCTCGGGGTGGAAGCCACGGGCGTCGTAGAAGATGTTCTCGTCCATGACAGTCTTGTAAGGGCTCATGCCAACGATGGATCCTGGAGGGAGGTTCCACTCCTCATCGTTCTCACGATCATGGTAGACGAGAGCCTCATCGGGGGCAACGCGTGCAAGGCGGCTGCTAGTTCCGATGCCAAGGCGCAGAGCTTCCTTGACAACTCCACGAAGGTAGGGGAGCTTCTCCAATTTTGACAGAGGAATAGTCTCGTAAGCATCGGGGATAGCATCGAAGAGCTCGTCGCGAAGCTTGCGAAGGGTCTCGGGGCGGTTCAGAAGGTGGAAAGTCGCAAGTGACATAGCCCACGACGTAGTAAGAGTGCCACCCTGAACAGTGATTTGGCTTTCCTGTGTCTGGCGAGAGGCAGTCTTGTCACGAACGGAGCGAGTCCTGGTGGAGAGCATGGTAGGGTGACCTCCATCCATCATCCACTTGCCGCTGCTTTGAGGAGGATCGACGCTGTGAATCTGTTCAAGAATGTCGTTTTTCATCTTCAAGAAACCACCCCATCCCGGCATGCATCGGTTTGAGATGGACTCTGGTAGAGCATTGACGAGAGTGAGAACCCAGTCGAGCTGCTGCACACAAGGTCCCATGTGAGTACCGATGAGAAGGTCATTGGTGACTTCAGCACCGAAATCAGGCTTCTCGACAAGATGGTCGCTTCGAGCAAAAGCGTATTCATTGATGACATCTGAGGTCATTGTTAGAGTTGTCATTGTATTGGAAATTGATGACTCACCATTGGTAAAAGCCGAGTAGGGATACATAACATCAAGAGGCTGTCCGTTGGACACCTCAGCGTAGTTGAGGAACGCATCCAGAAGAGCTTCCACTCTCTCCTCGATCACCGGCTGCAATTCGCGCACAGTCTGAGTTGAGTAGAAAGGGTTCAGCGCACTTCGCCGCAACTTGTGAAGGCTGTGGTCGATGGCAGCAAGAGAGCCTTCTGTCGCAGTCTTGGGTCCTGCGAGGGCAGTTGGGTGAGGAACACGGGTACGAGGGGCGCCGGACTATTTATGCGTTAGTTGTGATCTGTGTTATCTTGAGTACATAGTTGCTTACCTGTTGGGTGTAGAATGTCCACTTGTCCCGACGTCGGCTGGGTCCAGTGTAGAGCTCCGAGAAGAATTCGGGGTCTCCAACATGGACCTCCCAGGGGTTGATGCGAACAATGGGGCCATATCGTTCATGCATATCGATGATCTTGTAGGTGTATTGTCCTCCTAGGATAAAGTCGTAGTAGAACTCATAGTATTGAGTCAATGCGGCCAGCTTGGGACCTGGGATATGGGCCAGAGGGCTGAGCCATAGTCTCCAAATCACAAGCTGGACAACATAGATGAGCCAGATGCCCGCAAGCAAGCATCCGGTCTGCTGCCAGGTGAGGGCAGCAATGGTCTCTTGGACCGCCATGAAGGTGTTGGAAGCCATTCATGAGCGACTCGCCCTAACAGGACGGTATTGTCATTGAAGGAAGTAAAGATTAAATATGTTTTACTGGAGTGGCCATGGGCTCTCCAGGCTGCAGAGCAGAAGCCTTTGAGGAGATAGATCTCTTGTCAAGAAGCATGCGAGGTGGTGCTGCATTTGTATTTCAGGCATGAGCATGGTCAAGCCTTCACCGCATGGACTTTTAGACCTCTCGATCGGTCGTAGCGGATTGGCTTGGAAGACGGGGAACCCTCTCCCGGGTGCGCGAGCGGGCCGCGTGGAGACTCCTTCAGGCGGTGAACAGCAATTCGGGTACTGTCTTGCAGGGCATGGCCAGCTGTCACCGCAAGTGCTGTAAAGATCGTTGGTTGACGAGAATTCGAACGATCGTGGTCACATAATCAAGCCAATAGGTGGTGCAGCCGGAAGCCGGGGAGCTTGCAACGCTTGTCTTAAAAGGGAAGAACCATTGGACCGCTACGACGTTAGAGAGGGAGAATCAGGAACCATTTTAGCTCGAGGTTGGTGATTCAGGGGTTAGGCGGATGAATTGGTTACCAATTTTCTATAAAGAGTTTTCCAGAGTGAGAGGTTGGTCGTTGTAAAGGCGGAAGACATGGATTCTGTGAGAGGTTGGAAGTTGGTGGTTGGCGGTGACAAGGGCAGATTGACCAACGAAAATGGGATGAAATCGTGCCTTTGATCGGTTGCATCCGAGCTAATTAGGTTCAATGCACATTGACCAAAAAAGTGGGAGATGAGATGATCAAAGACACACAGATAATGCTCATGAGTGTTTGACGTACTGCTAAGAAGTACTCACGGGCCATGTAGGCATTTGTTCGGCATATGTGCAGAAGATATCACTTGAGCTTGATTTTCTATATCATTACTCCGTACAATGTATACAATTATATCTACAATACTACATCAACTAATGTATATAATAATAATAAACACCTATTCAATGAAAGCGTAGACGCCGTGATTGTGCATCTAACCGCTTCCTTGCCGCTCACAACCATCTGAATGCCTTCAAATATCGCCATGATACCTTTGAACAGCCACCCTAGAGCAGCCCCTCACCAATCTCACTCATTGATCTGTTGCCATTGACAACTCGGAGATACTCTGGCCTAAAAGGTACTATAGTGCTGAAACGGTCGAGCTGTCGACTGTTTTGGACGATCCGGCAAACGTAACCCTTGCGTAGATATCTAGCTGGTACGAGAATGCCGGATATGTCAGACCATTCTGAGGCCATTCATGGTTGGCACACCGTACAATGTCAAGCTGCTATAGAAACAACAATTGTCCACTTTTAAAGCTCCGAAAACCACCGTACCAGTAATCTAATGACAACAATGGCTGCATGATATAGCTTCATCCTACGGCTACGAATATCGCCGGCGAAGATGAGAAAAATAAGCCGGCCCGGTCTGCATGCTTCATGTATCACGCCACTAAGTCACTAAGTATCAATGAAACCTGGCGAATGTCGTGATACTGACTGATTAATTGAGTATAAAACAGTCATGCTGGAGTAAAGAATGGTATTGGACTACTGGGTCTGAGGCACCTCTGCATCTCGTGGTATAAGTTGAAGCTATACCATAGATCACAACACCAGTGTATGGTTCATCATCCGTGCACTGAACAGACACTAGATTATCTAGATAACGATACAGCTACTACCCTCCAAGTGTGAATGCCGCATCAGATCTCATGCATCAGCCAAAGACGCAGTAGCGGAGGTAGACACGGGATCGAGAGGGTAAGGTAGGTTAACTTTGATATAAATGGGGTTTGCAACTCGACATCCCGCGTTTAATACTCCACCCCCACACAGAAATCCGGGGTAAATGCCTCCAGTTTCTTATTAGTCCCAGATATGAAGCACCTAAGTTACTGCACATGTACACGGGCTGTCAAGCTTAAAGAGATAAGAGCTGTGACCCCTCCATTGTAAATTTTGTCTTGTCTTGTCTGTGACGTCTCTGCACCTTCTAGACTGCGGCTGCTTCCGCATCGTCAGACCTCCCGCGCTAAAAGTCACATCACATGGATATCAACTTCAACCTCGT